GGGGGGGGGGGGGGGTGTTGATCTGCTCCCTCCATGCCCCTTACCTCCCACCTCCCTTTCCAGCGCACCGGACTTGCCAACTGGAGGCAGCTGTATTGGAAATCAGGTTGGTATCAGCCGATATGCTTCCTTAAATATTGGGTATCGGTATTGGCCCTAAAACTCTTATTTAAAACCCTAATTACTATGTACTAAATATGAGTTGCATATATATGTTAATTGTGGACTAATTTACAGAACTTGTTAAGCTTAAGGTATTCCTGCCAACTGACGGTTTAGTTTAACACAGCACGTAAAAACTCCCTTGTCTTGAAATTGAGTACATAGTGGGTGGGCGGGGAGAGGGGTAGGAGAAATGGCAGGTAGCTGCTGCAGCCCCAGTCCTGCCTCTAGGCTGCTGCCTGTGCCTCACCACCTCTGCACCCCCTGCGTTTTTCTGTCCGCTGTAGCCTTGTGTCCCTTTGCCCTATCCTCATCTTCACCCCTGCTCTTGCCCCTCCTCAGCATATCCTTGCTTGCCTGTGCTCCAGCCTGGGGCATAAAGCACATCCCCAGCCCAACTCTGTAGCAGCAATGTAGTGCCAGCACTTGCTGCTACTGGACCAGGCTGGTGCTGTGCTTTGTGCCTCTGGCTGGCGCCTGCTGGAGTAGGCAGAGGCTGCACAAGTGTGGGGAGGAGGGCAGATCCTGAGTCGGGGAATAGTGGGGTGGAAGGGAGTTTGGGGGGGAGATGGGGGCCCAAGGCTGTGGGGAGATAGGGGTGAGGGGGAAGACAGGGCCAGTAGAGTAATTCTTCTGTTGCAAAGAACTCAGAAACACCACAGCAGGTCCAAATGTTTTTGACACTGGATTCTTCTCTGAAATCTGTGGATTTATCATGTGAATTTTGGAGGTGTTTGTATGCCTAATGCTGCTAATATTGCACAACACCCTGCAGCACGCTTAAAGGTATTTTATGGCACCCTATGGTGTCATGGCACCCTGATTGCGAACCAATTCACTAAAATCAGAAATAAAAAAATAAGCTTTTGTTTACTGTGCTGGATTGATAGATTGTATTTTGCTTTTTATTTAATTTTATGTAATTTTCTAAATGCCTTTTGGATCTAAAAAAAAATAATTTACACAAACAAATACTTGTTCTCATTTCTAAGATGACTTATTAGAATTTCATGTAGCAGTTTAATTATGTGCATGGAACTAATGTTGTATTTATGTATTTTATCAGTTGCATGCTATCCCCATTGCAAACATTCATAAAAATGCCCAATTATGTTTTTGTTGCCTCTTTGTTCATTGCAGCCCCTGGAATTACTGTGGCACTCATTAGATGAATGGCTTGTTCTGATAGCTACAGAATTGATGAAGAACAAAAGAGACTCTACCAACATTACTTCCATCTTACTAAAGCAAAAAGGGCCAGAGCAGCAGGATGCTACGCCTACGCCTTCCTTTGACACTGAAGGAACTGAGAGTGGAGAAAAGCTATCCATTGACGCAAAGGATTCTAAAGCATATGATGCTGCCGGGAAGCAGGAAGCTTGTGCTGATTGCCAGGATGTTATCTCCATGACAGCAAACAGGCTAAGTGCTGTCATTCAGGCATTTTATATGTGCTGCTCCTGTCAGATGCCTCAGGGGTAAGAAGAATTCTGCTTGTTACCTGGACTATTACTTTTTTTTCAAACATCTATACTTTCCTGGGAAAACATTAATGCTGACCAGCTTAAGCTAATGACAATCAAGAGATCACTTCCTAGTGCTTTCACTAGTTCAATTATTGGAATGTTTTTTTTCCCTGCTCTAATGACACCTACCTCTAGACAATGCAGCCTATTTTCCTTAATCATGTGATTTGCAGTTCTGTTCATATTGACTGTCTAGGGGTTTCTTTTCTTTCATTTTGTCTTAACCACATGGGATATTTGCAGAAAAATACCAATTTAATGTCTTGGAATTCATGTGAAGAATAAGCAGCCAAAGCAGCTGAAGTTTTGCCTAATTTGACATTTTCTCCAACTACCACTGTAACTGTGGTGTCCAGAAAACCACATGTAGAACTGTCATTTAATTTAAAAATAGATAGTGGAAGCCAAACTCACCTGACTATTATTGCTGAGTATTGTAATAAGATATGATGCTTTTCAGCTGTAGGTCACTGGAGTGCAGTCACTTTGAATTCAGTCTTAAATTGAAAGATACTAGTTTGTAGGTGGGAGGGCTGTCTTTGCCTGATGAGGCAAAGACGCCTCTCAGATAACTGGCACATTCGGTTATCCGGCACTCAGATACTTACTGGGCAAAATGTCCTCTTATGTACAGCAACAACTAATCTTTAGTTTCCCACCCTTATAATATATTCAGTTTATTTTGGAAAATATATTTAAAGCAACCTAGGAAGGAAGTTAAAGATGGTGTTCCAGCTGTAAATGAAGATTATAATTATAGGAAAGTGTAACTTGTCACCAGAGTTAATAAATTACTGAATATACAAATGGTGTAGACTTAAATCTTTAAAAACATTAATTTAATAAATTTCCTTACTTGGCAAAATGGGAATGCAGGATTTAATTTTTCTCTGTAAGAGCTGATAGACATCTAAAATAGTATAAAGAAAACAGTTCCATATCCAGCTTTAAACACTTACTGTCACCTGCTTTTGGAAGGAAAATACATTTCTGAATTTAGTTGGGAGGAAATAAATCATGCCAATGGCATTGCATCAGACTTATATTTCAGTAAATATTTAAATCACCTTCTGTGTTAATAGCTTTGCTTTTGGAGATATAAATTAAAATCTTAACATTAATAATGAGTTGGGTGGGGAGCTTTTAGTATCTTTTGTCAAAAAAAAGACATTACTAAAATAGAGATCCATTTATACATATTTGTGTATGTGTGTAATATATAAACTTCTGTCTCAATCAGTGTAGTAACAAGAGTAGTTTGTTAGACTTGTGCCTCCTAGTGGTCTGAAAAATCACAGAACAGAGCATTGTCAAAACTTTTAGGAGCTCCTGCAGGCTTTGAGAGCCATATGAGCTAATTCAGTGCTTGATGAACACAAGTCCTTCGGAATAAACCTGGCTCTGCAGAATGTTTTGCCCCAGTGTATATTGGGATGGCCACGTAGTGGCTTGCAAGTCGCGTGTAGATTCTAGGTAGTTTAAAAGTGGCTCCAGGAGAAAGTCATTCTTAATTATTATTTGTAGTGGGCAGTGTGCATAGATCGTTGATTTTGGGGAACGTATATCTCAGACATTTGGTGTCAAGATTTTGGTTTGCTGCTAGACAGGTTAGAAAATTTAGCCACTCATGCAAGTATGCAGGATAATAAATTTACTAAATAGCACTATCATTCTATATAAGGGATTCCTTTTTTCAGTCTCTTCCACCCTCCTTTTATTAAAAAAAAAAAAATCATAAATTAAGCTAATTAGGGTTTTAATATTGTTTTCTCATAGTTATTTCCTCATTCTGTATGCAACTTAAAAAAGCACGAGGTGAATGAGTCCGTGTTCCATTCATTGGACAGAAAACTGTTTAACACCTGCATCACAGGGATGTGTGCACTGTGTATCTGCATTCTGAAAGAGGCAAAAGTCCTGCAGAAGGTTTCTTATGCAGTTCATTCACAATCATGTGCTTTCTTAAGTTGAAGAGCAGTTTCCAGTCAGGTTATGTCTTGTTCTTGCCTTTATTTCTGGACTCTTTTGGGACTGATTTACATAACTTTATGGATATTAATTTTTATACCATATCTAGATTTGTTATACGACATGCTGTTTTTGCTTGTTTTTGTTCTTTAACTGAAGAAAACTGCTTTATGAAACATGCATTTATTTGTATTACAGGATGACATCACCTCGTTTCATAGAATTTGTCTGCAAACATGATGATGTTCTGAAGTGTTTTGTTAACAGGTAGGCCTTCAAATTTTAAATGCTTTTATTCCAAATGTTACTCTAAAACCATATTTAATGGTCATTCAGAGATATGTGGCTGGGTGCCGTCTTGGCAGGTACTTACACTTTGTTTCAGTTTCCCCATGCCAGTGGTCCCACTGAGCCCTGTTGAACTACTCTTGCTCCTAAGCAATGTATGGTTGAATGTAAGCAGGTACAGGACTGAAGCTTACATGAGGCTGTTCTCTTTATGTAAACGAGTATGGTCTATGTTTTAGATCTCCAAATATGTTAAGATGGAAATCAGGCTTTTGGTCTGTGAGCAGGTCTTTTTTCTTACTCTTCCAAACAGAGGCTAGAGGTCAAAATTTACCCCCTTTCTGAAGTTTGCTTTTCTCACAAAAGGAACTTTAAAAGAAATGCAAAATCTAGCTTAAGCATTATGCCAGCATTTGGCTCTTTCCACGGAATCCTCCAAGGACTACTCAGCTCACAACCTTGCATATTCTTTAGAGAACCCCTCTTGCTTCTCTAAAATAAAAGATGAGGTAAAATTCACTATTTGGGGCAGAAAGTCAAGAAAACACACTTTACACCATGGTGGTGTTTTTGGGGTTTTTTTGAAAACGTACTGTACTTACTGTGCCATTTTTTAAAATGTATTTTAGGTATGTTCATTTCTGTCACCTAGAATGTTTCATTAGTTGTTCGTACTTTTTACCAATGACATTCTAATTTTAAAACACTTTTTTTCTTTCAGAAATCCTAAAATAATTTTTGACCACTTCCATTTTCTTCTGGAGTGTCCTGAACTGATGTCCAGATTTATGCACATTATAAAAGCACAGGTAAATGTTAAGCACAGCTTAGTTAAACCTTTAATGCAACATTCATTTTCCTTGGCTCTGTATGAGTAGAATAAAGTTTAGTTGTCTGTAAGAATTGTATTAGAGCAGTGGTGTTCACACTCTGTTCTGGGAAACCCTGGGGTTCTGCAATAGGTCATCCAGGGATTCTGCAAAGAGATTTGGGGTAATGGAACAGGCCTGGAGGCAGTGCATCCCCGTTGCCAGGCTGTGTTGCCTGGCTTGATGGATATGGGTAAGGGTTCTGCAGCAGCAGAAGTGATATAAAAAGGTTCTGTGGCTTTAGGAAGCTTGAAAACCTCTACGTTGGAGCTTAAAGAAATACATTGTGACATTGTTTGATAAAGTTTTAAAATTCTGTTGCTTTCCTTTTAAAGCTAAGGCATTTCTATATGATGCAAGGCAGCTTCCTGCAGATGCACATCCCAAGCTAGCTCTCCTTCCAGAACCAGTACTAGTACAGCCATGTTTGCGTAGCTTTGCTTCTTGGGTATCAGCTGACAGTATCACACTAACATAGTTATATTCCCTTTGCTTCTAATGCACAGAACTAGTTTGGGGGATCTCTGTACAGCTCTGCCTTCGACCTTATACATACACCTTATTGATTTTTGTATTTTAGAAGAATTGTGGCCAAATATTTGTGGTACACAGCTGCACAATACTTTGCATTAGTCTTTGAGTTATAATTCTCTTGCAGCTTGCCTTATTCATGCTTTCAGGAATCTTGCATGTTCTCTGTATTTGTTTCCTGCTAACTGTCAAATGCCATTTGAAGGTAAAATTGTCTGAGGGTTTGGCTAAAGAGGGAAGTAAACACTTGATCTTAACCCACAAAAGGCCAAGAAGCGATTAAGGTAGGATCTAATTAAGATAGGATTCCAATTTAAAGCTGAATAACTATCCGGCAATAACTTCCCATGTCGACAGACTGCTAACATGGTATTCTTGAAATCACTTATTGCCATCTTTTCTCTTTCAGGCAATTAAGTGAGAAATCTGGAAGGTAAACCTAGCATACCCAGTTACTAAATAACATAAGCACTGCTGGACATAATGCCCATGTGTAAATGAGCATCTGCTGCAAAATGGTCATTATTATCCAAGGACTGCTGGTGGGCAACAGGTGGTTTATGGAGAGAATTCTGTTCTTCAGTAAATAGAAACAAATTTCAACAAGGGACACCTTTATTAGGAAGCCTTTCACTTATCCCCAGTAGTAGTCATTATAGCTTTGCTTCTTCCTCATTGGAAAGACCTCCTACATTTAAAAAAATATATATATATTTTGTTGGTCTTTTGGCACGAGTTTCTTTGTAAAGATTTTCTGAAATCTGACCATTTTAGGTTGAACATAAGGAAAAATTCCTTTACTGTTCGAGCCCCCAGGGACCGGAATAGACTCCCGCCAGAAGTAGTGCAGGCACCTACTCTGGACTCATTCAAGAAACGTTTGGATGCTTATCTTGCTGGGGTCGTTTGACCCTAGCTGACTTCCTGCCCCTGAGGTAGGGGGCTGGACTTGATGATCTTCAAGTTCCCTTCCAGCCCTAACATCTATGAATCTATGAAATCTGGAGAAACAGTGGATGTTGTCCCTGAGACAACATTTTTAGTCTTGTTGAAAAAATTCATATATGGAGGGTTTATAGGTATAGAGGACTCCCCCTGTCCTCTACTGTCCACAGTATTAGACAGTTTTTATGTAGACTTGAAGAGAATTTTTAACCCTTATTCCTACTTACGCAATTAATTTTTCAGGGTGGGATACTGAGGATTTTTTTCATTCATTGGTTGATTTTTTTCAATCCATTCCAGATTTTATTTAGCAAAGCTCCATATTTTGTCCTATATATGAAGTAAAGGTGTATTGTATTCAGCCTGACTGATGATCAGTGAAGGAAAAGCAGACCTGTGTGTCAGGTCTTGCTCTCAGCAAAATACTCTAAAATTACTGAGATTATATTAAATTAAATATTCAGAGTCTAAAAGAAGAAATCATCTGATCAGTTCAGCTAGTGTCTGCTGAAAAAGGGTTGTGTTTTGGTATAGATTTCTAGGGAATTCTAATCTTTTTGTAGGTCTTATTTGCTATTGAATTAGAGCTCTCAAAAGTACTTTAAAGTGCAGTAAATTATATGTTTTGTTGTTGCTATCATTTTGGCCATGCTATGGTCAGATAATTTTTATCCAGGGCCTTTCATTTGAAAAATTGTTTTGGTTTCAGCATGTTACAGGAAAAACCTTCCACTTCCAGTGTTAAGACATGCTTATGATAGTGAACAAAGCATCAGATGACTAAGGATTTAAAACATCAAATCTGAATTTCAAAGCCAGTGATTCTCATGATAGTCTGTGATGTAAATGGAGCTTTCAGTGGGGGATTTGGGTGTTGGGACAAAGGGTGAGTTCTTGAGACCATTCCTTTATTGGATGGCTGCCTGAAGGAGGCATTGAAAAAAAATCAGTGGGCTAATGCTCTTTCATTAAACATCTTAAATCTTGGAAGTTCTAGATTAAATTCCTCTGTGCACTACAGAGAGGTAGTTAGCTATTTTAGTGTGAAGTCAGGCAGAAGACCAGGAAGGGTGGCACCTGAAAGACTAACTGGTTTAGGGAAGTGCATAGGCTTTTATAGGCAATAGCCTATTTTTTCAGATGCCATGAACTGGCTTGTTTAACTGTATTTATAACCAAATAGTGGCATGGTTTGCTGTAAACTTGTTTTATCTACATAACTCGTGCTTCGTATTCAGCTGCCATGTTTGCAATAATCAACAGTGCGTCACCCTACCAGTTATTTACTCTGTGTCTCAGTTTCTTCCTGTAACCTGTTCTGTGCTCCTTTTTTTCCCTTCTGGAGACCAGATGCCAAGGATTGGATACCAGTAACCTCTCTCAGTAATCTCTGCATAATTAGTTTAACTAAAGTCCCAGCATCTTAGAACATATGCCATCTAGTGCTCCTGTGACACTTTTTGGTGCTCTGTCACCTGTTGAGATGGTGTACGTTAGTGGTTTTCAACCTTTTTTCATTTGTGAACCCCTAAAAAATTTTGAATGGAGGTGCAGACCCCTTTGATTTGTAAGTGTGGATATTCTTATACTTTTGATTGATCGTAGTCCTTTCTTGCAGACCATAGGTTAAAAACCACTGATGTAGGAGAATAGCCCATGTTTCCTAGGATGCGCTGATACATAAGCACAAGTATTTTTCAGCTCTGGTCATGAGGCAGAAAGGATATGGAAAAGCCAAACCTGTATGCATGTGTCATGACCGAGTTACAGAAATATATCTGTGCTTTTAGTTTGGACAAGGTCAGTTTTGGATCAAAAATCAAATGTATTAAATTGTTCACAGTTGAGAGTAGAATAAAATAAGGCTTTTTTGTTAGCAGTTTTTGTTTACAAATATCTCTTTAATTGCTTATTCAGTGAGGTCCTCTAATTGTCAGATACTATTGGTTATGAAATTGGGGATGAAAAATGACAGAAGGATGTTTGTGTGCAATATACCAAGTGAGGATGTGAAGGGTTGCTTCAAAGAAAACTTTGTTCATAAGAATCCATTATTGTAAGCTTTGTTGAACTTGAAAGTGAACTAATTGGTTGCAAATGTATTCAATGACGGATATAACATTCAAAGTGTCTGGACATAAGCTTTAAATTGTCAAGGGTCTTCTTTTCCAAATGCAAAAATGAGCTATAGAAAATGTGCTTTGAGTATTTTTATTAGTAAGATATGTGCTTGATTTTACTCTTATTCCTTTTGTGAAATCTTGTTAAAATGCATGCATATTGTCTACTAATTGCTCATTATTAGAGTCCCTCATTGGAGCTTAATATTTAAAGTGCATTTAACTTAATGATTCATTACCAGCCTCAAGAATGACTAATACATTGCACATGTCCTATCTTTTGCAGCCATTTAAAGATCGCTGTGAATGGTTCTATGAACACTTGCATTCGGGACAGCCGGATTCAGACATGGTGCACAGGCCAGTCAATGAAAATGACATCCTCTTGGTTCACAGAGGTATCGCATGACCAGGAGAGAATGTACCTACAAAATGTATACTATTTTTGTTGTTATGAGATTAAGACTGCAAAATTAATTAATTGTTTCATATTTAGATTCTATTTTTAGGAGTAGCTGTGAAGTTGTGTCTAAAGCAAATTGTGCTAAGTTAAAGCAGGGGATTGCTGTACGTTTCCATGGAGAAGAAGGCATGGTGGGTAAAAATACTGCAAACTGCCTTAGAAAATGCTTTAAGATATACACATAAATAATATTGTTACAGTAATGGAACTGTTATTAAATTTAACTCGCAATTTAATAGTACTCTTAAACTCAATTGTTAAGCTATTTATATGATTGATTGTTCTGCTTACCATACTATATGTTATCCATTTGACATGCAGGGTCAAGGTGTGGTACGCGAATGGTTTGATATCTTATCCAGTGAGATAGTTAACCCAGATTATGCATTATTTACCCAGTCGGCAGATGGTACGTTCGTATTTCTTATTGTTTCTAATCTAAAAAAAAGGTCAGCAAATATTCATATTTCAAGTAAAAGTCATCTTATAATGTAAGTAGACTCTGCAGCAGTGATTCTTAATCATTGTACCATAAAATCCTTTCAAGGGTGTTGTGGAGTGACCCACAATGTTAGAACTATTAGGTGTGCAAACAACGTTCACAAAATAAAGCCAGAGACTTGAAATACAAGTCCGTCATGTTAAAAACATGCTCACCTGTTGTGTTCTTTCTGAATTCTTTGCAACAGAAAAATCAATCTATTTTTCCAGTCAAAAAAAAGAATGAAAACCAAGTGTTGGCATTTTCTCAGGGGTGCTTTGAGTGTTAAAAAGTGGAGAACAACTACTCTAAAGTAAAACCAGCTGGTATTCTCCATGGAACAGCTCTTCTGTAAGTGGATTCTGGTTGCTAGGGTGTATTTATATTTTGTCCCAGAAACTTTCTAGATGCAAAGCTTTCTACCTCCCCATCCCTTTCTACTTTAACAGTGCTTAGGGGTGTGCAAAAAACTCTGACAGAAGCAGTCTGGGGTTAATTCTTGAGAATTAAAAGAAAAAGTTCTGGGTGCATGGAGGATTCTGTAGACTGTTTTAAAAAGACTAAGACTGAAATGTCTCTACTGCAGCCACCTATGGAGTAGAAGTGGGTAGGCTCTGATTAAGCAAACACTTTTGTATGGTCGTAGTTCAAGTCTGTGAGTAGCCAGTTAAAGTTTTGGGACCCCTTATGTGTATACCCAAATACTACAAAACCAGGGCCTATATTACCATTAATATATAACCTAGTAAAACCTGGATACTTCACAGGGTTATGTTGTGTACCTCCTTGGAAAGATAAGGGTTTGTGAACTAGCTGGAGGTGAAGATGCAGAGCCACAGCTAACAGCTCTGTGGGGCCACTGATGTGTTTCAACTTTTTGCTGACCTTTTATTTCAAAGAACACTGCTGCTGAGTTCCAGCTATGTGGAGATAGGGCACCCATTGAAATAATAACTGGAGAAAACAGTTGCATTTTTAGCTTTTATTTTGTCCATTTACTGCAAATTAAATTGGTTGTGAACCATCCAGACATGAATGATCCAGGTTCTAACCATATTAGCATCATACTGAAGGCATAAGTTAGTGATCTCTGGTGAGGGTCTTAGTATACCATTTTAACTTGATTCTTTGTTAAGCCTCTTTGAAATGTTGTTCAGAAGGAAAAAAATTACAACCTAAGTTAAAAGAAAAAGAAAAGGGAAACTTGTCAAATTTTGCGCATGCTTTGGTGTTTCAGAATCTTCAGCTAGCTAATTGCTTTTTCAAAGTAGAAGAATAGGAGAAAAATAGCTTTGAAGTGGACCACAGATAAAAGTATAACTATGTTGAAGAAAATTGTCTGGTTCTTGTTATAGTACTCTGAACAGTGAACATTATATAAATTCACTCAGCCTGTAACGTACAGTTGAAAGCTTGAAGCTACATAATTCACCTTAATTATATAGAGAAGCATCCTTCTGTTCTTTCGTAATGTCAGATCTTGCCTATTACAAGTTTTGGTGATGTGCACTTATGTGTACCACCCAGGAAGGCCCTTAACTTGTATTTTAAAACCATTACACTTCTCACGTCTTTCTTTTAAGAAGGAAATTCCAAGGCTAAACACAGGCATTGGATTTCTCCCAAGGCGAAGCCTTTTATTCGGGGGTCCTACAGATGGCCAACCCTTTTGTCCTATGTTAAGTTCTTGAAGTAACTGAATTAAAATTTTGCTCTAGGACAGTCAGGATTAACTTGAATCATTGCCATACAAGCCTGTGTCTGTAAAAGACTCTATCCTGCATCTTGCTTAATGCAAGTCAAGATTAAATCCAATGTCTCTTGCTCAGTCAATAATTGTAAAGGAGATAACTACAGCTTGGTGGCCCTGAACTGAAAGGGGACTTGTCTGCTGGTGGAGCTATTCAGGGCTAGCTGCTCCTGAATAATTCCTGTCATGGATGCTTATTTCAGAATAGGAGCACCTTTTTCTGGTTTAACTTAATCCACTTCATAAATTTCAGTCTTTCTCTTCCAGAACAAGTTTGTCTAAGCACAGAGTTATTCTGAAATAGCCATTGTTTAAACTCACTCCAATGTTAATCCAAAATAACTTGAAAATATAAGTAAGGCCTAATTTTTTTTTTTAAATAAGAACATGTGTACAACTCCCTCCCCCTCTGAAAAAAATCAGCTTGTCAAACTTTTTAAAATTGAGTTTTAACTTCTCTCATTCCCATATTGGCGAGACCAGGAGAGCCTACTAAATGGTTGCTGCTCTTGGTTTTCTACAAACAAATTGCGACTGTTCAGTGTATTTGAGAAGTACATGTTGGAGTTAAAAATAAACAGCAGTGGCAAAGTCCAGGCTAACAACAAAAATCTAATAAATCCTTTGTTTTACAGGAACAACTTTCCAGCCAAACAGTAACTCTTCTGTGAATCCTGATCACTTGAACTACTTTAGGTTTGCTGGACAGATCTTGGGTTTAGCTCTGAACCACAGGCAGTTGGTGAACATTTACTTCACAAGGTCTTTCTACAAACATATTCTTGGTATAGTAATTAAATTCCTATTTTGGAGAGTTAGATAATTTAGTTTGCACCAGTAAGTGGAGCTAGGTGGCGCAGTTGTTTGTGTGCTAATCTTTCATCTTTGGTGAACTATACTTAGGTTTGGTAGAATTCGATTTTTATTTTTTAAATAATTTTGACTGATAATATCAATGTTTTTTATTTTTAAGAATTTATTTAGCTTTTTATCAATTATTAATTTTTTTTTTAAAATTTCAGGATTGCATTAAATTAAGGGTGTGGGAGGCGAAGTTTATTAATGACAATTGTAACCACTGTTTCAGTAGTATATAATTTTGTTTCTTTTCTCTCATGTTCTAGAAGGGGGAGAGTTTTGAGGTTCCACGCTTATGCTGCCCAGGCTTATTAATAACATGGTGATTAGGGGTGTGCAAAGCTTCAGTCTCCAATTCGATTCGGAGAAGATTTGTCTCGATTTTCGGAGGCTGAATCACTGAATCCAAATCAAATTGGGAGACCAAGTAAACTCTCTGAATTGATTCGGAAAAGATTTGGGAAAAGTTTTGGAGGTTTGGAAGGCAGTCTTTCAGGGGAACAAACTGAGAAAAGGGAGGGGGAGCAGGGGGGGAAAGACTGACATCTGTAGCTGGTCACTGACCATGATCTTTCCCCGAGTCCCCTTCCAATCACAGTGCTCTGGGGGAGGGACGTAAAACAGCATATAAGCCTCTGCCTGCAGCCTTCTGTCCCTTTTGTGAGCTGTTTCTGCCTGAACAAGATAGGGGCAGGTAGCTTGCCCAGAAACAGGTGGGTGGGCAGAGATCTAATGGGTACTGGGAAGGCCCCCTGTTACAGGCTACCATCCCTGCTGTCTTCATCCAAATCTGCCTTAACACACACAAGTGACGCAAGTTTTGCTTTCAGCAGTTTGGGGTGTAGTTTCCCAAAAATCAATGCACCTATCTCCTTGAAACTTGACAGGTTTCATGCCCTCAGAATGGGCTACCATCCCTGCTGTTTTCATTCAAATCTGCCAAAAAATGACAAAGTTTATAGGTATTTCAGTGATTCCCCATTATAGTCTATGGCCAGATCACCGAATCTCTCAGAATCGGCGCCGAATCTTCTGAAGCCAATTTGGCCGAATTGATTTGGGACACTGATCTGAATTTCCGAATTGAGTCGCTGTCCTCCAAATCGGCCAAATCCAAATCAAATACTTCCCTATTCGCACAGGCCTACTGGGGATACCAAGATTCTTTTAAACAGGATCAGATGTATGCTAGTCTTCTGACCACCACATTGCCTTCTTTCATGAGCTTGAAACCAGGATTTCTTTGGTCCCATGTTGTTAAATAAATTGTCGCTAGCGATTCTGAAGTGGCATTAAGTTACAAGTTGGCACTGCCTTGAAAGCTGCTTCCATTCTTGATGCTGCCACAAGAAAACCTGTATAATGGCTTTGTTTCTTGGAGCCATTTAGTACTTTGTGGATTTGTCCCTTGACGTATGCTCAGATAGAGAGCCTAGTACTCAGAGAATCATTTGGGTGAAAAGGGGGAGAGTACACACTTGTGGGTTTTTTTTTTTTTTTATATACAACAAGGAAAAAAAGAATTATCCTCTCTCCTTTATTCTCCGATGCCATATATGTTTCAGTGGGCAAGTCTACACGAGACACTGATTGTTCAGTAGCCAAATAATACTGTGCAGTAGTGTGTCACAGCATGCTACTGCGCAGTATTAGGCTGCTGTGCAATAGTATCACTTAAAAGATGTTCGTCGATGCTACTGCGAAGTAACTCCTGCCAAGTACAAGTATTAAATAAATGCACAGTAACCACTGTGCAGGAGTGTCTCGTGTAGACATGCCCAGTGATTCTCAAATAGTGCTCCTATTGCAGAAGTAAATTGCACTCCTATTGCAGGAGTCCTATTGCACCCTGCTGTCCGCGCTGAGGTGCCCGTGCAGTCGCTGCCAGCACAAAGCTGATGCTGGAGCTTTGGAGCCTGGCGCAGCTGTTTGCACTCTGCTTGCTGCAGCTGCCCAGAGCCCGGGCTGGCTACAAACAGCTGCGCTGGGCTCATCACCTCTGTGCCAGGAGCTGGGGAGAGGCCAGGGCTGCGCTGCCCCGGGCCCCTCCTCCACTGCCCGCTCTGAGGGTGCCTGCTCGCGCCAGTGCGGAGCTGATCCCGGAGCCTGGCACAGCTGTTTGGAGCCTCCCAGCTGCAGCCGGCCTCAGCTCTGGGGAGCTGCTGCCAGCCAGGACCCCGGGCTGCTCCCAGCAGGCAGCTGGGACTCTGCAAGCCTTTCTGGGCTCTGTTGCTGGCAGCAGCTACCTGGAGCCGGGGCTGGCCGTGGCGTTCCAAGCGAAATGGCTTCGCGTGCCATGCTGGGCATGTGTTCCAGGGGTTGCTGATCCCTGGGATAGACTTTCAAGATGGATTAGGAGATATATGGACCATTACTGCATCTTATCTAGAAAAACAGTACCTTACAATATAGAAGTCTTTCTTCACAACACAGCATGGGTATAGCAGGAACCCATAGATAGGTTCCTATGGTGTTGAGATGCAAAGCAACAGCTTAAGTTTAGGACTTTATACTCTGTTTTGCAGTGTGCTCAAATGCCCAGCGTGAAGGAATGCTGGTGCAGTCCATAGTTAGGCAGAGCTCTTCATCCCCCTGATTCACAGTACATGTTACTCTTCCATGCATGGAGGACTTGGAAGGAGAAGGATTACTTAAATATAACTAGTTCTCAGCCTTCTTTGTGCTGTCACTGTACTTGTTGTATACCCTTTTCTCTCGTTTTGGATTTCTACGTAACTTCAGGAGTAAGTAGCATGCTGTGACAGTTACGACATACTGTTAGTTGGGAAGAAGTAACGGGAGTGGAGGTTTGGATGGAATTCCTTGCTGCAGTGTCATGCTCTCACAAGACATTCCATGAACTCTCTTGGTGGATGTGGATAGTTCTGTAGCTCAATACTATCACATTTTAGGTGTGTGAATGGACAGAAATGACTCTAAGAATAACAGAGAATAAAGTGCCTTTCCTGTTATAGAACACAAGGAGAAGAAAGTTGTTCCTAGAAATGGAAGAGGTCTTTATAGCTTTGGCTGGTTGAAAGGCAAAGAAGAGCTTGGAGGGCCTTTCTTACCTCCCCTTGTTCATAGCGGGGAAAACATAGGGGCAGGTCTAGTTATCAGCAGTGTTTGCATAATATAAAAGCTACAAAGGGGATACTTGTTTGTGGAGATGGATGGAAATAAGCAGTTTTAAAATTGCTTTCCATGCTTGGCTGAGCATCTAGCAATTTTATGTGCCCTTCAGCCTCTTTACATTACATTATGAAAGTTAATTTGGAAGTTGCTTAAAAGTTTCACAATTTAGTTTTTGTATTAGAAGTGAGTTAGTATAGCTGAAACAGATTGCTGCTGAAAGGATGGCAAGGAAAAAAGGAGAAACTTAAAAAGCCAAGGACATTAACATGTATTTCAAGTATAGAAAAAAATCTTCATAATAACTTCATTGGTATTTTCTTCCAGTTGGAAACTGCTTTTTAGTGGGCAGAGAGGATGTATATCAGAGACGGTTGTACCTGTGAAGTGTTACAGAATGCAAATTCCTGCAGCATAGGCTTATTTTTTTAGGAGACTGAAGGAGCAGGGTGATTATTCTTTGCCCTCATGATGAACTCAAGGCTTGAATCAGTGTCACAGAAAGGCACAGCTTTTGGTGGCTTTGGTCCACCAGGAGACCAAATATTTAAAATAACTCTGTGGATTCTTTCCAAATGCTGAAGAAGTAAATTACATTGTATTGTGAATCAGGACTCTGGGGTTTTTTTCTTCTATCACTGCATTCTTTTAGACTATCTCTAGAGGGCAGTCTTCTACCACAGAACAAGCAGAATAGAGAAAATAACTTTATATGTGGATTTTGGTTTTATTTTTTTCAGGTATTCCGGTAAATTATCAGGATGTAGCATCTATTGATCCAGAGTATGCCAAGAACTTGCAGTGGATTTTAGATAATGATATCAGTGATCTGGGTCTGGAGCTGACTTTCTCAGTTGAGACTGATGTGTTTGGAGCAATGGAAGAAGTGCCACTGAAACCAGGGGGAGCAAGTATTCTTGTTACTCAGGAAAACAAAGTGAGTGAGTTTTATCCAAAATTTATTGGAAAAAAAGTTAGACTGAAATATAAGCAACTAGAAGCATCAATTATATACAGTACTTAAAGCAAAGTATGGTCATAATTTCTAAAAGGTACCTGGCAAAATGATCCCCAGATTTGACCACTGCTGTGAGGAAAGTTCTATAAGGAGCTCATAGATTCAGTGATTTTTTTTTTTTTAAATCAAATGAAGATTTCTAAAAGTGACAGTATATATTTATGGCATATGATTAAGCTGTCCTGGAGAATACTAGCAAGAGAAAACAGCAAGCATTGCCACAAATGCAGATAATACTGTGCAAGTGTTCCAAAACACACCAATTTCACTAAGTAATGGAATAATTAAGGTGTAAATATCATCTACCTATATAAGTGCAAAACACCAGAAACCTCATTAGAAATCAAGATCTTTGTGCATGGGGGCCTTGCATTAGTACAGAAAAATACGGTATAAATTTATTTGCTAAGGGGAAAAGGAATAAGATTTTAAACAAGTTGATTTAAGACGGGGAATTGTTGAAACCTTAAATTGTTAACAGTCAAGACTGGAGCTTTTACATATAGCATTCTGGTCTAATGTAATAGAATATGCCAGAGTTATAACTGGGATTACAAATAACCCAAACAAATGTGCATACTAGACTTTGTTTAAAAGTCTAAACAATGGACTTTGTTTTAGAACTATGTTAATTAACTGAAGCATATTTGCTCTAGTTTGACTTTAGTAGTGTACGGTATGTATACAATAGTAATTCAGCTTCTTGCTGGTGAAATACTAGGCTGTTATACTGGCAGATAGCCACTTGGTGTCATCATTTATTTTAAAATTTTCTTAGCTTGTCTTGAAGACTTTGGCTGCGAGTCTTCATATGCCTAATCCTCCTTTTTATTAAGGCAGAAATGTCATTCAAATAACTAACATATATAATATAACCTTGATTCCCCTGCCATCTTGTACTGTTTATATTTGTTTTTTTCATTTAATTTGTAGTGTTATAAGGGACTATGGAGTACAGGGCAATAGGGAATCAATCCAATGTCAGTTTTTACATTGGAGGGGAGCCACAATATGTGCTTGTTTCCAGTCTCTCAATGTTTCTTGTTTTGAAATATATGTATGTTGCAATAATTTTTTTATTTGTGTTGCCATTAAAAAACCTACTGCTGAGACTCTATGGTGTTTTTTCAGTTTTCATGAAGTTAGAAATTTCCTAATATGTCAACTTTAATATTATTTAAATGTTTATGTATATGTGTGTTCTTGGGTATATTACTAAGGAATTAAAGCTAAATCCTTCCCAGTTTGAACTCTTAAAGCAGACCTTATTAATGACACACGGTTACTAGGACATCTCCAAAGGTCAAAATTCTTGTTGTTAGAAGTGTTGATGTACATTTCTGAATCACGTTTCCACACTAGCTCACCAACATGCCTCAGTTCTAATATGACGGGACCACATCTAGAGTTTTATATAGATTCGATTTCCATTTGGTCCTTAGCATTTTGGGGGTGATAATAAAATGACTAATTGGCAGCTTTTGAAGTATGAACTTTAATCCATTAGGAAGAAAGAGATTATCAAACCATGACTATCTAAAGAACAGCTTTTAGATTACTTTTTTTATTAATGTTCAGGGCTAGAGACAGTTCAGTGATTGAGAAGTAAAGGTATATATCATGACGTGAGTTTTTGAAGATATCTGTGAACTATTAAACAAAAGTTATGTTAAGAAAATATTTAAAGTGTATAATTTAATAGTTTCATAGTTTCTAGGGTCGGAAGGGACCTGAGCAGATCATCTAGTCCGACCTCCTGCCATGGCAGGAAAGAGTACTGGGGTCAAACGACCCCGGTAAGGTGGTCATCTAACCTCCTCTTAAAAACCCCCAGGGTGGGAGCCTGCACCACCTCACTTGGAAGCTGGTTCCAGACCCTAGCCGCCCTGACTGTGAAGTAGTGCCTCCTGATGTCCAACTTAAACCTTCCCTCCGCCAGCTTGTGACTGTTGTTCCTGGTCACTCCTTGTGGCGCTCGGGGGAACAGGGACTCCCCCAGCGCCTGCTGATCCCCCCTCCCAGCCAGTTTATAACAGGCCACAAGATCCCCCCT